AACCATACTATTTTGTACCTATTTTTCTCTTATTTAGGTGCATCAGGAAAGTTTAATTCCTTTTTCCTTTTTAAATTTTCTACCTTTTTTTTTTTTTTTTTTACCTCCTTTCCATGCTCATATGGAATCTGTGTTGGGACCAGAGCTGTTTAACATATTAATAAATGATCTGGAAAATGGAGTGAGTAATGAAGTGGCCAAATCTGCTGATGACACAAAATTATCAGGGATTATCAAGAAGGGAATTGTAAATAAAACTGGAAGTATCATGGTGCGCCTTTATAAATCCAGTGCATCTACACCTTGAGTACTGTGCCCACTTCTGTTCCCCAAACCTGAAAAAGGATATAGAGGAATTGAAGAAGGTCCAGAGAAGGGCAACAAGGATGATTAGTGGTATAAGAGGGGCTTCCATGTGAGGAGTTCTATGGAGGGGCTTCCATATGAGGAGAGACTAAAGAGGCCAGACCTATTCAGTTTCAAAAAGACATGCTTGAGTTGGGACATGAGAAGGATTTACAAAATACTAAATGGTGATGAGAAAGTTGATAGAGATTTATTATTTACTCTCGCAGGATACAAGAACTAAGGCTCACTAAATGAAACTAGTACGTAGTAAGTTTAAAACTAACGAGAGGAAGTTCATTTTGACATAGTGTGGAATTAAAGTATGGAACTCATTGCTACCAGATGTTGTCGAAGCTGACAGTTTAGCCATATTCAAAAAGGAATTGGGTGCATTCTTGGAGGAAAGGGGAATCCTGTTGAGCATGGGGGTTAGGGATACAGCCTCTGAATTAGAACTTCCTATACTTTAAATTGGGGTGGGCAAAATACAGCCCATGGACCAGATTCAACCTGCCAAGCACTTTCACTGCAGTGTCCCCCAACAGATTGCACCCCACCCAGCCCTTCCATCCACGAGGGTGGGAGCAAGGCATCCATGTGTGCTGCACCCCCCGCCCCCCCAAACATACTTATCGTGCCTCACTCCCACCTGTATGGGCAGAAGAGCTTTGCCCAGCCAGCACACAGCTTCTGGGTGGGGCTGCTGCTGCAGCCCCTGGGAACCTGGTCTGCTTCCCTGGCTTCCTGCTCGCTCTGGGCAGCTGGTGGGGAAGTGGCGGGGGTGGGACTGCAGTGGCATGGGAGGGAAGTCCCAGGGGGAGTGGGACTTCTAGTCCCAAGATGGTGACCAGGGAGTGGGGCAACTGTCAAGGGGCGGGGCTACCCATGCAGTCCTCAACAGCTCGCCAAAACACGTTAAGCAGCCCTCTACCCGAAATAATTGCTTTACGTGCTGGAGGCTGCAAGTGAGAGAACAGTGTGGAGGGGGAAAAACCCTGGTCATACCCAGTTCACTCTCCCTTTCAGCATTTACTTTCTGCCACCGTGCTGGGCAAGATGGACCTACGATATGACCCAGTAAATGGCAGTCATTACGTTAAGGAAACTAAAAAATAAGGCAACTAGATTTGTAAATAAGCAGTGCTAGAAATGGCTTTATTAGCCGGGAACCCAGCACTCTTAAAATAGCTGTATAGGCTTACACTTTGTTTTCTAGGCAGTGTCGTCATAAAGCAGGCCCACTGTTAAGTGATGCAGTAGGATAACCAATCAATTCTGAAGACTTAGGACATTTAATGTACTTTCTTGGGTGCATAGGTGGGTGGATAGGATGAGGGGGTAGTGACATTGATGGGGAGGGATGGTAATTCCTAAATAATTTTTTTTTT